TGACACACACTGACCACCAGGGGGCAGACGCTCAATGCAGGAGCTGCCCTCTGGTGGTCAGTGTGCTCCCACTGGGGGAGCTCTGCTCAGCCACAAGCCAGGCTGATGGCTGCCAGCACAGCAGTGGTGGTGGGAGCCTCTCCTGCCTCCTCAGCAGCGCTAAGGATGTCCGACTGCAGCTTAGGCCTGCTCCCCGCTGGCAAGTGGACGTCCCCCGAGGGCTCCTGTGCTGCCAGAGGGATGTCTGATTGCCAGCTTAGGCCCAATCCCCCGGGGAGCGGACCCTAGCCAGCAGGTGGTCATCCCCTGAGGGGTTCCCAGACTGCGAGAGGGCACAGGCCAGGCTGAGGGACACCCCCCCAACCCCCGTGCACAAATTTTTATGCACCGGGCCTCTAGTATATATATATACACGACCCTGATATGCAAATAGCGGAACAACCGAACAACCAGTTGCCATGATGTGCGCTGACCACCAGGGGGCGAGCGAAGAACATGGCGGGCGTCTGCTGTGGTGGGATGGTGGAGCAGGTGAGTGGGGGCGCCAGACCAAGGTGGGGCTGGTCACTGTCATCGGGGCGAGCCTCTGGTGGTGACTGAAAATGCTTTGCTCCCGTGAGCTCACACCTGCTGCCCCTGTTGGCCCCGCTGACCGCACCTGGATCGCCCCTGAGGGCTTCGCCACCTCCCCCTGCTCCTGAGGGGCGATTGGGCAGCAGCCGCCTCTCGAACCCGCTGCTGCCGCCAGCCCCAATCGCTCCACACTGTCAGCGGGCAGGGTCAACGCCTGGGAGGAGCGGGGCTGCCAGCAGAAGGGGACAGGGGCGTGTCGGGAGGGGGAGGGGCGGATGGCCCACAGTTCCTTCCAAGGTGCACGAATTTGTGCACTGGGTCCCTAGGAATATATCTTAAAAAAAACACCTCAAACCGTGCCCCTCCGCTGGGAACCTCCCATGGCTCCCGTCCCCTCAGATGACATTGCAGACGTCACCCCTCCTCACACTGCGACCCCGCGGACACCCCGCCCAGGCTCCCGAGGCCCCTACACCCGCGGGCCCTCCCC